AGTATTTACTATATATATTGCTTTTTTACAGGTAACTTGGTACAATCGATTGCAATATTTTTATACAGGTCAGCAAGATATTATACCCAGTCACAAGGAATATTAGGATGAATAAATATTTTACTATTACATACAGGCTTTCGAATATTTTCCATTTACTTTCCCGCAAAGGGGTGTAAATAGGTTGCCGTGGGAAGGGTTAATCTGTAAGGAGAATTTGTTTCACAATGCTAACAACGCAGTTCTAAGCCTAAAAACGCTAAAGTGGAAATATTGATTCTTTACTGTCCCAAGCCTGAAAACATAAAGACAACAATATTGAGTCTATTTGAATCTGCAAGCTGCAAAACACAACAAAACTGCGAAATAACCATGCCGGAAATTGTATCAACTGTCATGAAAATGAAAAACAACAAACGCCCAGGATTAGTGAATCACTGCTGAGATGCTTAAGACGATTGGAACAGAAGATTATGAGATATTACTTTTTATATCTATCGAAGTTCTTGAAAAAGAATACACACCTATACAGTGGAGAAAGGAAAATACAGTAAAGTGTACAAGAAAAGGTGGACATTTAAAAGACTGTGGCAATAGGAGAGGAATATCGCTTAAATCAGAGCCTGGAAAACAGTGTCGTATAACTGCAATGATAGATGAAAGACTGAGAGAGGAACAGGCGGGATTTGGACCTGAGATCATGTACAGACTAAGCTGCTTGTTCTGAGAAATATTATAGAAGAAAGCAAAGAATGGAATGTCTAAAATATTTTGAACTTTCTGGACTTTAAAAAAGTCTTTGACAACATGGACAGAAAAGCCCTGTGGAAATCCTGACATTTCAACGATTATAATATACTGTATAAAGTCATTATTTACCAAAGCAAACTTCTGTGTCGACGTCAACACTTTTTAAAATAAATGCTGAAGTTAGAAAAGCTGTATGCTATCACCAGTATTTTAAAAAAAATTTCTATCAATTTTGCAATGGGACTAAGCAAATAAATTGAAACGGGAATTGGAGGGACAAATGGCACATATTTGGGATTTTTTTCAGGACACGCTGGAATCATTGCTTGTCACAATTTTTTTTGCATAATTATGGACGTATTGATGTCATCTTAAAGCTTGTACATTTCGCTACCTTAGAATTACGAGGTTCTATCTGACATTTTTGGCCGTTTTGAGTTACTATGATCATGACGTCAGAAATCAAATGCTCTCTCTGCTCTATCAAAATCGTAAGATTAATCGAAATGGTTATTAAGATATCTAAAAGCTTGACGTGCTGTAAAACTCAATAATTTTAACTTCAAATGTATTAATCCCATGTCGGAACCCCATTGCAGACACTGTGACTACCACGAGGAGACCGCTGAACATCTTCTCCTTCATTGCCCAAACCTGGCAGTTCTTCGACGCAGGCTACTGCACACACCTACAGACTTACAAAACCTGCTCTACTCTGGCGTTGACCAGATGACAAGGAGATGTGGTTACTTGAGGGAGGCTTTGCGCTGCCAAGAACGAAATGCTCGCAGCTAAAGGGATTTGAAAACAACAACAACAACTTCAAATGTCTCAATACCAAACATTGAGCAGATAGAACATTTTAATTTTAGAGTAACGCTTTGTATTGCTTATGATGAATGAGTACCCAAAGGTAAAAGCTAGAAAGAAAATCGTCTCCACAGCTCGGTGGCTTTCAAAGCTTTAGAATTTACATTTTTTGCGCTTTTGATCAACATTCTTCAGTAGAATCCAAACATAAACATGCTTTTAAATGGACATAAAAGATGTTGAGCCCACAAAAGATGTGTCAATAAAAATTGTCCAAAAGGACGCAAAATGCTGTTTTCTTCGATTTTATTATTTTGACGAGCGCCTGATGTCATAACGCAGCCTCAAATTTAGATTTTGCGAATGGCATCTACTTATTAAGCACCACAGTCCACGAAAAGCAGTTGAAACAAAATTAAATGATTTAGCAGGATCTGCAGAAAAATTTGACCCTGTAATAAATGCTTCCAAAACAGAAGTGCTGCGATTATCACCAGAGACTACTCACATCACCCTCTATGAATAACCTCTTGTAGAAATGAGTAAATCCAAGTACTTTGGCAGCATTATCTCAAAATTTGCTGACTACTTTGACAATGTCTGTCAAAGACTTTAAAACAATTAAATCGCTTTTGTAAAATTAAAACTAATCTGGGATTCAATATATTAATTTCATTTAAGACGAAATTAGAAATGTATAATAATAGTAATGTTTTGGTGGAACTGATGTATAGTTCAGAGATATGGAAGACAAACAAAGTAAATGAACGAACATTCAAATTGTTCCGAAGACAACGTTTACTAATAATTTTATTAATAAGAAAGAACGAATTTATTCCAAATAGTGAAGTGAAGGAAAGATCTGGAATTGAAGATATCAACACGAACCTTTAAGGGAGAAGATGGGGATATTTAGAACATGTTTCAAGGTTTTTAAGTC